CATTGAACATCCAGTGATTGTTAATATCTCATAATACATCATATCGATATTTAGGGAAGTACAAATATCCAACCTCCTAGTTTCAACAGTTATTCATTTTTTTTCTCGTATGTATATAGTTTTATTTTGAGTGTATTCTCGATTCCTACATTTTAAATTTATCTTTTATACAAGAAATAACAAAAAAAAAGTGCACAGAATATAGAAAAAAAAATTTTTAAAAAATTTAAAATATATATAAGAATTCTTTCATTGTTATAATGACCGTATGATTTAGTAAAGATCATAAGTTTTACATGTACAAATTACGATTATCGTCTTCATCTTTTTGCCCCTGTTCCGAACTCTCAAAGTTAAAATTGAGGTTATTTGTACAAGCAAAAGCACCATTAAATCGAAACCGTATAAGAATAATAAAAAAAAAGTTTTACAGTCTGGTGGATTTGAGTATACACTATCAAAAAATTTGAGAAAGTTGAGGAAGTTTGAGAAAAAGTAGGTAGCCTAAATAAAATTGTTAGATTCATGGAGAACATACAAGAAATTTTAAAAGCAGCGACAGAATACTTGTCACTGGGAAATGTCAAGGTGATTCATATTTTGCTCTTTAAACTATATGAAATATATGATCATACCATTTATTGGTCTTTTTATCTGACTTTTTTTGATTTCAATAATTCATTTAGGATGCATACTTCGCTTATATGAATGCACTTGAAGTGGCTTCAAAAGAGTTGAATAACATCAAATTTGTAAATAATGGTAAGACTGAATACGCTAAATCTATTAAATATTTTAAATATACCAAATATCAACTGTAATTTATCATACATACATTATTTAATATTACTCTTTTATTGAGTGTAGTCGTGGCATCAAAACCTGTGTCATATTCTTCGCTTTTTACGATATCTCGGACGTGCTTATCATATGCAGAAGATATAATTGTTAAACATCAAACTGCTCCTTCATCACCTTCATCAACAAGAAAAAATCCAAACCTTAACATAGCCATATATCCTCCTACACCACAACAAGCAGAACATCCACTTGATCCGCAAAATAAAGCACCTCCAATACCTCCAAAACCAACCCGAAGATCTTCAAGGGTGAGCGATGGTGGGTCATCTCAAACTTCACCAAAAAGTGATCAACCAATTTCTCCGATTACGAAACCACCTCTACCTCCAAAGCCTGTTCGTAGACCAAGTATGAAAAGACATTCCGGTGAAGTTGAAGTTCCTGCTGATGGTAATGATGTCCATGCTGTTTGTGATGACGATGATAGTTCAGACTCCGATGATGACGGTGGTTATATACGTGGGCGTGGTAATTAACATTATGTGTATCATATGAAATAATATTTTGTTTACATCTTGGATTCTTACCCGCTTAAAATTTATTTTATAGAATCTTTTCATCGTAGATCTGATCCATCTTTAAACTCTTCTCACGCCTTGCACCGACGAAGGTCTTCGTCCCCCAGTGTTCCTGCAACAAAGAGAAGATCAACAATAAATGGTTCGATAACCGATTCTCCTACAGACGAAGAGAGTCCTTATTCTTCTCATTTAACTTCACCTGCTACCCCTGCATCTTTTTACGGTGCGTTATCGGTTCCATCGCTGCCAAATTTATTTGAACGTCAAAAAATGATTAATGTTATACCAGAAGGTGCTGTAGATCCAAATAACTTGGTTCCTGCTACAATTCTTAATGATGACAACTATCAATCTCCAAATTCTCCTTCGTCTTCTCAATATGTGGATCATGTTCCTGATATTCCTTCTTCTCCTTTGTTAACTCAACACGCTCAAATGGAACAAAAAATACAGACTTTAGAATCAAAATTAGCTGAATATCGTGCGGTAACAAAAATGAGGGAGGAGGGTAATACTGAAAATAATAATGGTGAGCAACCATGGTCGGAACTATCAAATGAAGAAATCAAAGAAGCTATTGCGAAATACAGTTCAACCGTAGCCGGCCTTAAACAATCAATAACAAGATCTCGTAAACTTGTGTATAAAGCGGCTTCCGATCCGGATATTTTAGAGTTTGCTCCTCATATGATAGCTTATCAACTGACTCTTATTGAATCTGCTATATTTTTGGAAATTGACCCATATGCTTTACTTTCTCATTCTGCTAAAAATCCAGACCCAAAGATTACTGCTTCAACTGACTTTTTCAATTATTTGACTCGTATTATAGAACGTTCGATTTTATTGCCATTAGAGGCTTCTTTACGTGCTCAAATAATAAATCATTGGGTTAAAGTAGCTGGAAAACTACATGAATTGCATAATTTTCAGACTTTAAAAGCAGTTCTGTCTGCATTAGGTACTACACCTATCAAAAGACTAAAAAGAACTTGGGCTTGTATTCCAAAAAAAAGTATGGCTAAATTGGATGCTCTCAATGAAATGATGAGTGAAGCAAGAAATTACGGAAAATATCGGGAAATGATACAACGCGATGGATTCCTGAGAAAACCTACAATACCATTTTTAGGAACCTTTATTATGGATGCCACTTACCTGCTTGCTGCTGTAAAATATTCTTCAAATTCTTCTGCTCCATTGTCCAATAACGTCCAATCACCTGTCGCATCCCGTTCGGTGTCTTCCCCAACGGGGATACATGATGATCCTCGTGTTCAAGAAATGTTGCAAACCATGCATCGTTATCAAAATGGTCCAAAATATTACTCTTCACCTCCTTCTTCTTACATAAAAGCTTCAACAAAGCATCATTTTCGCACTGCAAGTATAAGTGCTGCTTTGCATAGATCCGGTGTAAATAAATATTATAATAGAAACGATGATGAGGATGAAATGATTGAAGAAAAGCAACAATTGATAACGCATTATTTATTAACACGCGTGTGGGTTCCACAAAAGAGCGTTGATGAATTAAGTTCCTTGCGCGAACCTCATAAGAATTCTTATAGTGCTAATAATCGAGCACCAGGTGCCGCTTCATGGAGTGGACCTCCAAGTAGCACGGTTTCGAATACAAATGGTGCCCAACGTGGGAGTACCGGAAGCACCGTTGGTGGAAGTGGTACGAGCACTAACACAAGTAGTGGTGTAGGAAGGACGAGTTCAACCAGTGGTAGTGGGGAATCGCGACCGCATAGTCTTGAAGAAGTAGTTGATACGGTTCCAACTGTATCGGTTACTTCAAAATCGGATAGGGCTGGGCCCATTTCAGACAAAGAAAGTGGTAGCATAAAAGAGAAAAGAAATATTACCGAAAAAGTTGGAAGTATTGGAAGCTTCCTCTTTGGTTCTCGAAGTAGTTTAGATAAAGCGCGAGATGAAAAAGAAAAAGAGGAAAAGAATAAGAATGGGGATGTAGATACTGATTCTTTATATGATGATTGCTCTGAAGAACTTGTCAGATCCCATTCTGAACAAACTAGCAATAAAAGGGCAAGTTGGCGTGCTATGAGGGTGATGTTTGGAGGACATGAAATTGGCGATTCACTAAAGAGTCCTACCGCTATGATAAGGTCGTCTTCTCATTCCAGAAGTTCGTCCAGTGGAGAATTGAATCCAAAAAATCATTCCGCAACTTTTATAAAAGCACATGGACGTACATCCTCAGCCAACCCCAAACCTATTACATCACGCAGGTCATTAGAGGAACCACGTTCTTCTACACCTCCCCCATTACTTCCAAAACCGCCAACCTTAATGCAACGCAGTTCAAGTGCTTCGTCTGCAAATAGCATGGGTTCAAGTGCTACTGCAAATATTTCAGGGAAGCGGAGTAGTACTGGAAATAGTACCATACCACTTGGGGGTGGAGATATTGAAAATATACGAATGGTTATTGCGAAGAAAGTCGCAAATGAGGTCGCAGCTGGTGGTGTAGCTTTGGAAAGGAATTGGCAGTGACAAATTTTTTTTGTTTTTGTGAGTGTTTTCGAATTCTAAGCTCAGTTCTGACTATTAACTTTAACTGGATTCTCTATAAACAGTTATTGTATGTATGTTTGTATGTATATATGTATGCATGTATGTATAATAACAATATATACGAGTCATTGAAATGAGCAACATGTACATGTAGACAACGCTTTTGAGTTTTAATGTATATGGATATGCAATGATTCATATACAAACTAGAAGCATTAAATAACATTACAAACTTTTGTTAGCAACTCATTTTACTGTGTAAATTACGCATTTCTTTTTTTTCCTTTTACATACTTGCACTTTTTCATACATTATGTATATTATATGAAATTCTTTTCACTTCTGTATCACAACGGACTATATTTGTTTTAACGGACTTTCTTCGTGCAAAATTTTTTAGTTTTGATGCCATCAATCATCTGTAAATAGCTTTATTTGTTGTCATTAAAATGGTTTTTTTTTGCGAATGTTGTATTAAATTTGTTTACACAAAAAAATAAAAAAAAAAAAAAAAAAAAAAAAAAAAAAAAAAAAAAAAAAACAAAAAAAAAAAAAAAATCAAAAAACAAAAAATTATGGTTTTTTAGGTGGTTATTTTATTTTATCATTTTTTTTTTTGGAGCTCTGATGTTTGGTTTGACGCTTGTAGAATTTGATTTTTTTTTTTTTTTGACCTTTGATGAACTGAAAATTTTTCCCCAAACGAAAACATTCGAGTATCAAAATGATTTGTAGGCACAGGACCGTGAGTCCATAGAATTTTTTGTGTAATTTATCGAACACGTGTATGTACAAAAAAATTTTTTTATCTAAAAAGTTCAGGAATTAATAAATACCTGTTTTGTTTAAAAAATAAATACATATTTTATAATGTCAATTATTTGATTTACTGTCAGATTACACTTTAAAATATTATAATCTAACCAGTCTTAAAAAAAAATATCGCTAAATATTACAATCCTCCGATAAAACCGATATTATGAAACTAAAAACCTAACCAGTAAACAATCTAAAAAGTAGATACGTGCAACAACCGCAAAATCTGAAAAAAGCTAATCCAGTAACAGACCAAAGAATGAAAGCCATATAATCATTACTTCTTTTTTGTTGAGGCAATATTGAATTTAAGGTTGAACTGCCATTTGTAACAGCAGCTACTAATGCAGCATTGCTAATGGTCCAAGCAAGCACGACTTCTGTACGGAATGCTTTATAATAATCTTCTTGTCTTTCTGCTTCTGAAGGTTGCTTTTGTTCCTCTTCAACATGCCGTGATAATTCGTTAACAGCTTCATCATATGCAGCATTAATATCCTTTTGATCCACAGGTGCTTCAACTTCAACTTCACCACCCTTCCCAGGTGCAGCAACAGTACCCAAATCTTTTTTTGTTCCAGTATCACCTTTTGTACCCCAACTGTATTATGAAAATAATCATGTAAGAAATCATGATGGTTTAATAATTAATGAATTCAAAAAATTTTTTTTGTTTTACCTGACATCATGGACGTTACAAAACGCGTAAACGTTTAAGATATTTATATAAAATGGTACCAATAGCAGATATTGTCCTAAGCTGGTGAACATATGCCATGGCTCAAAGAACAAGAAACTTGCAAAAAAATATAATCCATATGTAGTGACCACGGAAAGGATAATATTTCTAAAAGTAGAATCATTCAAAATGGCCCCGGCGGTGGACGTGTTGGCACCAGTAAGACTACTTGAGTTACGTAAATCTTCTAACTGGAATTTAACCCCTTTATATGTAAGCCAGCCTGTTGCAAACAACATGTATAACATAAGGCCGGCAAAGAATACTATTGAGCTGACGTAAGCCCATCTTGTACTGTAAAGAAATAAATTAATCATTATTATATGACCAAAGATTTATTATTATATGTGAAATTTACCCTTGAGGTCTATTTCCCATGGCTAAAATGAACTGAATCATAAGTAGCGCCAAATAAACGTAACGTAAGATCTGGAAAATTATGTCACCCGCAGTTTTACTCCAAAGGCCCTCAATAACATTCTCATCGGTTAAAGAATTGCCTAAAATGTAAAATGTCAAATAGAAATTACCCTAATGAACAAAAACAAAAAAAAAAAAGGATTTTAATTATAAAGTGTATAATATATAATAATAAATAATATATAAAATTTATATTTCTTACCAAGGCAAACCATGAGAAAATAAGATTATATGTTTGATACGCCATCTCAACGTGTAAAAAGAGTTTGCGAATCACAGTATGATCACTTCTCCAGATAGCAAAAGTATGACAAATAGCATAAACACCAGCAAAGAAAGAACCATTTAACCAACGTCGTCTTTGAGAGATTAATTCAGGCACTTGATCAGGTACATCAGTTTCCGCGTACGCAGATTTAACATAGTGCAATAACCAAGAACAATTACGCTTAGCCACCAATTCGAAACAAAGGATACGATCTTCAGCGAGATACATATTAGCGGTGAAGATATCGGCATCAGAACCATGAGCGGCTTCACCCAAAAAATAAGAAGCCAAAGGACCATTTCCATTTTGGTCGTTCTGAAGAGCACGATAACGGTAAGCGGAGAAAGCACCGGGTAATACGGTGATATACCCAAATACAGACTCGAGTGGTTTATCCAAAATATTGGATATTTTATATTCAAAATTTTGAGCGGCAACAATAGGATTTAAAAGATTAACACCAGCAGTTCCTTTCATAGCAACGATTTCACCACAAGCACCAGCAATATTAGAATTGAGATCAAAAGCTTTCCACAAATGATATAAGGAAGTACCGCCAGGTTTGGTACCAACATCAAGAAGAATACATACATTTGGTTTAAGCATAGCACCAAATGCGTTGAAAAACCAACGATGAGAGTTAATCTTTTTAGCATTCTTTTCTTTAAGACAGAATAAGACTTGAATAGGAACGATTTCACCCTTTTCACCTTTAAATTTCATATCAGGATCAATTGAAAGTTGAGTTGTATACTCATAAATATGAGCAGAAACATCCTTATTGTTGAAGGTATCTTTTGCAATGCCATCCTGATATACACCAATTGCTGCCAAATAAGCTAAAGTACGTTGATTAATTTTTTTACGACCATCGGATACAACACATACAACAACTTTTTGCCATCCTTCTCCACCCCAAACACGAGAGCGATCACGACTGCAAAGATGTGTAATGTTTTTTACAACAGCATGAAAAGTGCGGGCAAAAAGGATTTCATCTTCCTGTTAAAAATAAATTGACCGAAACATGGTGTCACGGCATTTGAAATAAAATAAAAAATAAATAAATGAATATGTGATACTCTAAATATATTGGACCATCGGATTTAATACCCTTTGCAGGGTAATATGCAATAGACGCATATTTATAGAAATTAAGGGTGCTGTGACGGATTTTTTTGGATATTAAGTTATCGAAAATATTTTGGCTTTAATAATACCGAAATACTTTCGGAAAATCCATTATAGTTTCTATTTTATGTATAAAGACCATCAAACAGACGATGTACAGTACTATCTTTGTTTCTTTTTTTTTGTGTTTTATTTTTTTTTATATGTTATTTTGGTTTTATTTGTTTAGATAGATCGAAATTGAATATCGAAGTATCACCCCTATTTTTCTTTTTGTCCTTTAAATCCGTGTTTGTATTTTGTTTTTATAAAAGGAAAGATAATACTGATATGGCATGTGGCACCAGCCAATAATCGAAAGATTTATACCTTTAGGAAGTTAGAGGCCCAGAGAGAGGCAAATAGCCACTAGATGATGTCATACCTAGACTTTTTTTAAAGTCGAGTAAGTCACTTGTTATAGTTAAGGAGATAATAACTATAGTTAAGAATTTTTGTAATTTTTGCTTAGTTACATCCTAATAAAAACAGTAGCAGGACATGCCGAAAAAAAAAAAAAAATTTTAAAAAATACTAATTTTAATTTTAATTTATTTTTTTTTAATATTAAGATAACTATTTTGGGGTCTAATATGTTTATTATTTATAACTAAATCAAATACTAGCTTGGTTTTGTTGATCTCACCTAATTTTGTTATATCAACGAAAGTATAATTAATTATATATACAACTTTAGTTATTATCTATTTAAGGGTTCTGCTATATATATTTTTATTTATAATTATTTACCAATTGCTATATCTAAAATCTGCTTGTAGATCTCCTATTTAAACTCTCTAATCAACTTCATATTATCAAATATTTTTACTATTGCCTAATTGCTACTAAGATTTTTTAGGACTAGTTTATCCTTATAATAAACTTATTAAAGTAATTTATGCTCTATATATATATCTAAGTTTTTTAATAACTTATGCTTAATTTGAAAACTAATACTTGTAGTTTTTTACTTCTACTATTATTATTTATTCTTTGCTTTTGCAAAATTTATCCAAATCCTAATACAGTACCTTCCCTTCAAGACTATTTGATACTTTAAATTTATCTCTAAAAATCTTCTAGCTTATCTCTTCAGACTATCAATTCAGATAATCTGAAAAAGATACCAGTTCCATGATATCTGCTAATTCTTTTTCTCTAAGTAATGCTTCAGTGGCTGATTGGTAAAGCAACTTGCTGATGCTCTTGTTTTGTCTAATTAACTAATCTCAGGTAAAACTTATTCCAGTAACCATTATCAAAAATTTGTATTACTTCTCTACTCAGATCTTGTCAAGCAAACATTTATCTTTCTGATTTTTCAGATTTATACAAACATATGAACTTATTTCATATAACTCATATATTGTATGAATGTTTAATAATCTTTCAATTTTGTTGATACTACCAAAGTTACAAAAATTCTGTTTTAACCGATTGTTAAAAGATAGTAACTGTTGTATAAGCAAAATATTTGAAATTTATCACCAGTGAGTTTCGAACATCCTATTTTGCCAACATGTCACTTAAAGGTACAACAACTTAACTACTTTACTAAGTCGCCATATTCTATTTTAATTTTATTTTAAAAATTAAAATATATAGTTAAACATGTAATTAAACC